GGGAAAATTAAAAGTACTTTTTCAAGTTAATAGAATTCTGAAAAGATACTGATTTCTGTTTAAAAGTTATAAGCTTGAAAAGATAGAATCTCAAAAACATATCAGATCTCATATTCTAGATTTTCTCCTTTTCCATAAATCATATTAAGTTTCTTTCTCAAAGTTTTTTATGAACCGCCTACCCATTTTTTCTTGTGCATTTCTTTGAATGCGTCACAAATTAAATGCACATTCGCTCTGGCTTAAGGAAAAACCCACAAGACAAGCTGAAAAACCGAAAAACATAAAAAAGATGCCACAATTGCGATAATTTTTCTATTTGTTAGCATTGCGTTTTGGCCCCGAAAGAAATTGGCCATGAGCAGGCAGGCAGACATACCTTTATGGTTTCACCGAATGAGCGGGAGAGCATTAATATTTTTATGTGCTCATTGTGGGGCCAAGTCCAAGACCAAGTCGGCCAGACCAGGTCCAAGACCGAGTTAGAGTCGAACTCTTACCGGGTTGTTTATTTAGCCCAGCCATGCAAAGGTGGACGACAGAGAGAGAGTGAGTGGAGAGGAAGGAGGAGTCAGTCTCCTCCACTTGATAATTGCAATGAAATTGCATTCTACTTCCATTTAGCCAAAGGCGCTAATTCGTTTATTATGAGCTCAGGGAATACGGAGGAGGGTCAAAAGAGGAAAACGGGGAATGACTAAGATCCACTCTGCAGATGGCATAGAAAATTTCCAAGAAAAATGCATAATTTTCCACTCTATGCATTGGGTGTGGCATAGATAATAAAAAAAGAACAGAAATAACAATGGCCAGAACAAGTTTTGTGGCCGATTTTGTTTGTTTAATGAGTTCGGTTAGCTTGAAGTACCTCAACGAAAATTGCAAAAGTTGGCAAAACATTCCATTTAATAAACCACTGACTTTACTGGGTAATTAGTACACCGACTAATTGCAACTAATATGCATGTGCGGGAAACAAAGGAGCTGGCCAAAAGGACTTATTTTCCTTTTTACTTTGTTTGGTATCATCGTTAGTCTTTGTTGCTTTATTATTGGCACTGCCAATTAAGTGAAATTTATGTGCTTCAATAAATTATGAGTGCCGCAGCTGACATATGCGACACAGTTGGGAAAATATACAAAAAAAAAAAAGACCACGAACAGTGGGCGTGGTAAGAACCTCTTTCCCCGTCGCCCCCCCCTAAAAAAAGGGCACAAGCCAAAAACATTGACGCAAAACTTTCGGCCAGAAAGGACAACAGCGGAAATGTGGTTCTGTTGGTGAGCGCGACACATGTCGCTAAGGTAAAATAGTTATTAGTAAATATATTCAGCACTTTATTTGCATACCTTGTGAATATCTCCCCGCGCGTAACTATACATATATATATATTACACATACGCCGTGATGTCCGCCAAACAAGCTCGTCAGAGGGTAACTAATGAAACAATTGACGTGCTGGGAGGGCACACCGAAAAGCCAGAGCCATAGCCATATCCAAAGCCGGTTGATACCCGAACCCAAACCCGAACGAACAGTAGTTGACTGCAATAATTATTCAAGCGCCAAGAACAAAACAGGAGAAGAACGAACGACAGGTGCAGGAGCCACAGCGACAGGAGCTAAATCCACAGGAGCTGCAGGAACAGCAGTTGCTGCATAGATGGCTATTATGCGCCCAACTTAACCTGTTTTAGTAATTAATTTGGGTATTGTATGTTTTAATTAGTTTAGAAGGCGACGCCAGAACAGAGGAGACTGATGTCAGTAAATTGAGGGAATATTTTCGGGTGATTGGCCAAAGTTATTGACCTTATTTGTTAGCTGGAATAGAGGGCTTAAACTGCAAAATCAATCACTTACTTTAAAAGGAATCGAGGTTTCAAGGATCTTTCTTACCCCTTTCTTCTCAAGACTTACTTCCACCGCCATAGAAATCCCACCTGCCACCCATCGATTAGACACCCCCAACATTACCTGACATATTCCGGCTAATTACTAACTCCCTTGCTAGTCTCGACCTGACTTCTAGCTTCTGGCCATTTGGTGGGCGGCCAAAACATATTTCAAAGTCCGGCTAAATACATTTTTAATTATGATTTTGCGTTAATAATTATGACCTAAGCTAACGGCTAACGGCTACAAAACGAGTTGCAAGTGGATGTCGTGCCGATGTGTTGCTGTTGCAACTGGGAAACTCGGAACTGGTAGTCCATAATGGCCTACGATACCCAGAGGAGTCGTCGAATGGCTTAAATTAATAATTACGCGAAAGGCAAAAGGCGCAGGCCACGATTTAGTGGCGACTTGCAGGCGTCCTCGCTGTTTGCATGCAAGTGAAAATAATTAATGCACTTAATGTGTAATTATTTCAATTAAACGATACCCTCCTTGCTCGAATCACTCTGATCCTGTTTTACTCTCTCTCTCTTTCTCTCTCTTTGCAATGTTGGGTGGGGCTGGCTAGGCCGACATTAAGGTCGGCCTAATTGGCATTTCGCTTGACGATCACTGATACTGATAGCCACCAAATGAGCAAAGGTATCAATCTGTCTGTGAATCAGAACAACAAAAAATAAAAAAAGGAAAGAAAAACCCGTTCTTGACGCGACTTAACTTAATTATGCTAATGTCGTGCGAGTTGGCCATGCCATAAGTTTCCATGAATTTATATCGATGGGCAATCGGCTTGTGGTCTAATATAGCCAAGCACTTAACCCACTCGCTAATTGTCGCCGGGTGTTAACAAACTGATTACCAGCGTTTCCCAATCATAAGTTGCTGTACGATTTGCATGACTTATGATCTCCACCTGCAAAATTGGCAACATAATTTAAGTCCATTTCCCCTTCCTTTCGGCTTTCTTAATTGGGTTTATATTTGTATATTTTTCTTTCTTCTTTGTCTGCAATTATACTGCGATTAGAAAGTTTTTCCTCCTCTTTCTGTTGGCTCATTGATATACGAATGCTGGCTAATATTTCTGCATGTGCAAATTTGGTAGGAGCCTGTAAGCTGGCTAATGGCATATTTATTTATTATGGCCATTTGAGTGCGAATTACGCTCGCGTGCTTCTTAGCCGCCATTTCCTCTCCGGCTTCCTCTAGTTCTCTCGTCGCTGTACCAGGCCAACAGAAGTCTTTAGTGGGTTAAACAGCTCCTAGAGCTCCTAAAACCTCTCAACTTTCTCTAGCAGAACTGAAGAAACCCACGCACTCTCTATCTTAAGCTAAGAAAACTCAAACTGAGAGCATTTGGCTATTGGACATTCCAGAGAAATTACTTTTGGGTGTTGGCGAGAAGGAGAAAATGAGAGTTATTTAGGCCAGGAATTTAGAGTGTCAAGTTTGGAGATAGGAAATGGATGAAAGGAGAATATAAGATATGAGTCTTTAAGTTCTAACAAACTTTAAGCTAATAATACTAACTGATATAAGATTAAATATATTTCCCCACTCAGCAAATCACATTTAACTTTAATTTCCATAAACTCCATAGAGCATAAAAATTATCTCAAATCGTAATAATATAATTACTAGCAGCATCTCACATAGAGACAACAATCTCTGGGCAAATAATATTTTCCCAGCGCCCTTTAGAGAACACAATTTGATTATGCCATGTCCAGCAGCTATTTTAGATTTGATTTTTCTGCACGTTTTTCAGTATTTTTGCAGCTTGATGTTTTTGTGTTCGCGCCCAGGCAAACCCCTTTTTTCACTCTTTGAGTATTTTTCATATTTTAATTTAAATTAGAGGGCAACACCCACTAAGCCACTCAGTGGATGGCGATGATGACTATGATGATGGCCATGAGGATGCCAGGCAGCAGACAGTGGAAAGCTGTTCGTAACTCAGTCAGACACTCGCTTCGAGCTTAACGCGCTGATGTATGCTAATGAGCCGGCATTGTCGCCGGATCCGTCGTCCGCCTCCGCATACTGTTCCTGCTCCTGCTGCTTCTCCTGCCCTAACTCGATTGCCGGAGGAGGAGCTGCAGCAGCCGGAGCGCTTCCATAAATATGCATAATGCAATTAACAGCCAAATGTAATTGCAAGCCAGAACAAGGAGCAAAAAAAAAAAAAAAAAAACAAAAAGCAAGAGAAATAATAAAAAATAGAAAAGAGACTGGCATTAGCAGCTGACAAACCACCCGCATGGCAGTCACTGTCCCCGTCACATCACATCACATCACTTCACATCACTTGGTGATACATGACAGTCGGTTGGTCGTTCAGACTGCCTCTTTTGCTTTGCATATGCCCGACTTTTCCGACTTTCCCGGACTGGCCAACCTGTTCCCTCCTCGCACATTTAATTAGGCTATTAAACAATTGCAGAACGCATGTTGGCTAAGCCCGGGCCTCTAGCCTGTCGCCAACCAGTTTCCAACTCCCTGTCTGTCCTCACAGTTCCGCCTTGAATCCATACCGAACCGAATCGAATGGCTTTGAATAGCTTCGAATCTGCCTGCGAATCTGTGCCAAATTTCGCATAAGCACTGCCAGCAACTTAAGGCCGAAACTAAAACCGACAAAACTGAATAACCGTTGCGTGCCTAGGCCCAGTCAGCGAATTTGGCTTTTGGCTTTGGCTCTGTTTTGGCACTGGGAGAAAATTAGCTAAAGGTCTCATGTCTAGCTTACCAAGTCAGTATCCTTATTTAAAATTTTCCAAAGTTAATATTTAGTTTAAAATTAAGAAGAGCCATTAACTATAGGTTTAATATATAGATTTGCGTTGAAAGAGTTACCCATCAGATTTTCTCCCAGTGCCTCCTTGCCTTTTCCTTCACCTATCCGCTGGTATGGCCAACTCCGCTAGCTTTCTTGACTTGGCCTGGCTGATTGGGCGCGCGTTGTTTTGCATTTCCAGGCCAGGAACGGCGGCTGCGTAATAAAATGCATTTTAATTTGGCTAAATGTTCAATTAAATTTAAACATGCGCAGTCCGCTGTTTGCAATTTTGTGTTGCCTGTCGCCGTTGCGTTGAAGTTGACTAGCAGGAGAAGTGAATGTGTGCGACAGGACCCTCTTCCGATTTTCACCAACTTTTCTCCAGCTGTTGGGTTTTTGTTTTTTAGCAAGCCAGGATTCAAATTTCTTTCCGATATGTAAATATTTTAAAAATAACAACGTAGCGGTAACATTTTCCCTTTCTACAGAGAAAAAAATCGTCAAAATTCCGTTTTTAACACCAGAAGTTTTTGGCAAATGTTTTGGCCCACTCTATTAAGGGGTTTCGGCTCGAGCCAGAGCGGCTCTTCCAGTAAGCCGCCTAAGCCTCCATCGACTCCAAAACCTCCCACGCCACCGAAACCTCCACCGCTCCCTCCGCCTAAAAAAGAGTGCAAGATCCGGACCCACTGCATTCCGGCCGCCTTTTGCGCCGAAAGCGATAGGTTTAAGTCGATGTGGGAGCCTCCCAAGAATTTGCCTCCTCCTTATCCCTTTGTGGTCAGCCGATCCAATGAACATTGCTGCGGTCCCAACTGCACCAAGCCATTACCCTCGTTCGACGAGTTGTACTACCGACCCTCCTGTAAGGATGGTCCCTACCAGCGCCATTGGGTGGAGTGTCCCAAGTTCATGATCCGCAAGAAGAAGGTTTGTGCCTACGAAAAACTGGAGGGTTTGGATCCAGCGCGTCGTGTGGCCAAGCGGCGGGATACAGCGACGAAAGGCCCAGCTGCAGGACCCTGTCCCCATTTTGCTCCTTTGGCGCGTTGCGTGCCGGGACGTCGTCCGCCCAAATGCAAAAGTGCCAAGACGCCCTCTTGCTGCCGTAAACTGTGTGCTCCGATGCCCTCTTGGTCGGAGTGCATCAAGCCCAGGCTAGCCAGGCGACCCCAACGACCCCGAGAATGCGAATGCCGATACCCCCTAAGCCTATGCGAAGCTGAGCGGGGTCGTCAGTGGGTTAAAATCCATGGTGAGAACCACGTCTGTCCCGCTGCCATCGCAAAGGCCAAGAAGGCGAGGAAAGATGGTTTCAAGAAAAAGAATAAGAAAAAGAAGACCAAGAGTAAGAAGGGAGGAAAGGATAAGAAGCCCAAGGACATGAAAAAGAAATAAATTTTAATTTTTATTTTCTTATTTGTTTATGATGGCATTTCATTGATTTCACTCAGTTTCGGCCTCCAGAATAGTGGCTTTGTATTTGTTTTTCCCAGACTCGAGATCATCCAGGGCCTGCCTCAGTGCCATGCGCATCAGTTCTCGGGATTCTAACTCCGTAAGTTTGCTAGAAACCGTGTACCCCTCGGAATCCATTTCATCAATAGCTATAATGCCTTCATTAGCCTTGCTACTAGTTGGCTTACTGGCCGGAATCTCGATGGTCCTAAAGGGTTTATAGGTGTGTATGGTTTCCTCCGGCTGAACGACAGGTCTGGGAGTACTCTCTGTAGTTTTTGAAGGACTCTCTTCTTGAGAGTCGCTAGAAGACATGGTCTCTTCTGTTGTTGCTGTTTCTTCTGATAAATCGGCTGTTTCGCTTGTAAGCAACGAACCCTCTTCAAGTTTCAGACCTGATTGATCGGTCATGGCAAAAGATTGCTCAGATTCCTTTTCAGCGGCTTTAGGCTGCTCTTGGTTGTTTTCAGAACTTTCTACATCTTCCAATTCAGATTCAACAGTCATGGTAATATTGATTTCAGGATCCACAGACTGATTTGATTCTGCTACATCGGCTTTGGGTTCCGACAATTGGATTTCTTCTAGCTTATCAGATGCTAAAGAACTATCCACAGTTTCTAGATCAGTCTGATCGGATATTCCGCTGATTACCTCCTCCTCATAATCCAAGTTCTCATTCCTCTTTGGTATGTTTAATGCCAATGAAGCCATTTCTGGTGTCGAGGAAACACTACCCATGTTATCGACTTGACCCAATTCATTGTTAACCAAAGCGGACTCCTCTGGATAGAGGGTGTTCAGGAGAAGGGAAATCTGACTAAGCTCCTGAATCATAAAGTCCACATTCTCTCGCACGGACGTTAGAGAATTTTGTTCAAAGCTGGTGAAGTTCTCTTGGGAATCCAAATCTTGAGACAGTTGTTTCTTCATAGAACGCATTCTTTCGAATTGCAACTCCTCTTGGATATTGGAATGGTCACTCTCAGTGTAGCTGTATTGATCCTCTACAGATTGCTCTTCAAACCTTACATAGGGATCCTCTGCACTGGGTCCGGGCAGTCCTGCCAGTTCCTCCACGTCCAGTTCGTTGTTTTTCCAGCCCCATGAGGCTGTGATATCGTCATTGGAATCCTGTTGGTGCTCTTCGTAATGGTGTATGTTCCTCTCCTTCACATTCGGCCATACTAACTGGTGACCTGACTGATCCACTTCCTCATCTAACTTCTTCAGATTGGCCTTCGTGTGTTCCGATTGACTTGGGATATAGGTTTTATCGGAACTGTCGGACAGGCAGCGCAGGATATTTCTCTGGTTTTTAGAGGAACGAAGGACACCACGTGCTAGGCCGCTGAGCACAGACAGGCGAAACATGTTTAGAATTTTGAGCGAGTCCGAGAAGTGCTCCAAACGGTAAATGGTTGTCAAGTGAGATTTAAGATAAAAACCCACTGACAGCTTTGCAGGCTAAAACGCAGATTGCTGGGATTTGGATTAAGTGAGAAAACTAATCATCATCAGAAATCATACAGATTCTTAGCTGTTTGGTTTCTGATGAAGATAAGCTTCTGATACTGTGGTTTCTGTTGGAGTATCTGTAACATTAGCTACCTCAGATATTCTAGCAGATATCACAGTCAAGATAAGCCCTGTTTAGTCCTGTCAGTCTTCATCGCTTGGAGCGACAACATGGCCAGATGCTGGTGTTGTGTTTGGCCAAGTGTTGAGCACGTCGAATCTGCTCGCACATGGACATCTTTTCCAGACATTCACACTCGGGCGGACGCGTTGGAATCACGGCGGGATCTTCTTGAACGCATTCGGAGTAACTGGGAAACGGACACCTGATCTTCTCGCAGTCTGATGGCTCAGTAATATCGTCGCAGCTGGGCGGTACTCGAGCGGCGCGACAGCAGGGCATCCGGAGACGCATGCACTTGGAGTTTTCGTTCAGGCATTTTAAGCGCTTCTCTTCGTGCTCTGAGGAGCAAGCGGATCGCGGGCAGAGTGGCAGGTCACGACGAAGGACTTCCGGTGGAATGGCATCGCACCAACAGCAAACTCGCTTCGGGACCATCTTAGGACAGCACTCCCACCAAGTGCGCTGATAGTCCCGGCACTTGTTCGATGGTCTGTAGTACAGAACATCGAATCGGATGTCTCCGCAGGGCGGGCAGCATTCTTCCGGATAGTGCCACATAGTCTCTGGTCGTGGCGTTTCCTTTCTATCTTTATATTCCTCCCACATGGAGATGAATTTGTCGTCCTCTCTTGCCTCACTGCAGGGATTTTCCGCGATGCGGGCATTCACACAACATGGGTACTTGGGACGCGAGCAGTCCTCTTCGCAGCACGGCCGAACTGGTGGATCTGTCGGACTGCACGAACACTTCTTCTCCGTTTTGCAGGCACTGTACTTACTCCTAAAGCATTTAATGCTCTTTCCCAATGTGGTAGTGATGTGAATACTACGCCCACGTGCTTCTAGTGGTATAAAGCTGCTCGCCACAATTCTCTTGGCCAAAAACCTGAGCATGGCTGCTGTACTTGAATTTGAGTTCCTTCTCAAAGAGGAAATGTCTGCCAAAACGTATGCTAAGTTATGATGTTGAGATATAAATAGGGGGCTTCTTATACTGTCATTTTAAAGAACATTTTTGATGGTCTGTTGTTCATAATATCTAAAAGAGTTAATGCGACATTCCATTCTGTAGTAAGTCCCCCCTTGAGAAGACTCTTTTCTGGGGCCATTAGCTTACCTTTCAGTTCCTAAAAATCTTCTCATAGCTTGCTCTTTTCCATCAGATTTATATATATAAGCCCACTAACAACACAATCATTTCTTAACACGAGACATCTTTAATACCTAGAATTGTGGAAAATCTCTGATACTGGTGGACCATCTCAGTTGCAACTCAGTCACAACACCATTGTTATGATTGAGCCACAGATAAGATGGACATCAGGATCAAAAATTATCCATTTGTGTTCAGTTAATAGCAGGCACGATACAGTTTCTGTTGATCAAAGGCGAGGGGTTGCTGGGTAAAAGATTTTCGCGGCAAACTTGGACAATTCTGACCCTGGAAAATGCTTGCAAACGGCGTTGAGTACCGTCCATTTCCCAATTGTTTCCAATCCGTCAATCCTCTTGATTTGTTGGGAAAGCTGGCTTGATTTCTTGAAAAGCTCGGGCGTTGCGGTTCGTTCTTTGGCAGCAATCGCTCCTTGGCCTTGGCACACAGTTCATCCATGGCCTCCCGTTGGAATCTCTGGCCAATGCTAGAGATGTTACCCATCGGTTGCCATTTATTGGTGGGTTTGCTTTGGTTGGATGCCTGGTTGGATTCTGGTCTGAGGTAGCCCATTGTGGCATCACTCTTTGGCAAAGGACTTAAGACCTTGTCGACGCACTGCGTATGGTTCCGCATCACCGGAGGCTGAGCACGGGAGTAGCGAACTAGGAGCTTGGTCAGGCGCTCGGCACACATCGTGGCCAAAACGGAGGTAGCCATGTTAGATCCTATCCAGTGCTCACTGGATTCTTTAGCTGTAATCCCTGAGTGCTCTTGGTCTTCTTGGGAGTTCTGCTGGGTAATGTGTAAATGGAAACGTTCGATTTGGAAGCCTTTTGCTTGATTAAAAATGGGAAACACCGAAAGGAACGATTTATTATATGGATGACAGCAGAGGCCAAGGTTCCTGTGTTAGGATCAAAGAAAGTAGTTTGTGGAAGGAAAAGATTTTATTCTGCTTATTTAGTATTTTAATTAGGATTTTTGATTTGTTTGCTTTGATTTTGGTTTCATTGATTTTTCTTCCAAGTTTTAAGATAGAAGACCTGACATTTAGAGCAAAGCAATGGCAACAAGTCATTGTCAACTTGCAGCCATTGTTTTATTCTAAAAGACAGGACCTCCACTAAAACACTTTTCGATTATATAAAATCACTTAAGATTTTAACAATTGCGCCTTAGTCTCTCCTGCATAACCAAACATTGGGGAACGGGATGCCAACATTGGCATTCGGCTTTCCGTATCGGTTTAGGCGGCCTCCGACCCACCTCCGAGAACGATGGATATGGAGCCCGTAGCTTGGTGCACAGAGAGGGTCTGCGAGCGCGAGAGCAAAATGTATTGCACCTAGCTGGTTTGCAACAGGGCCAGAAAAGCTTTTTGCACGTGCAATTAGGATCACGTTGCAGTTCACTCCTTTGACAGAGAAGCTTCAGAGATTCGTAGGGTATATTGCAGTCAGGACAAGGATCCTTGATTCGATATCGAATCTCTGGTGGCTTGATACCATTCAGGCAGCACACTTTTTTCAGGCGTTGCTTAATAGGAGGACATTCTACCCAAGTGCGTTGGTAGCAGCGGCACTTGTCCGAAGGATGATAGTAGATTGCATCGAAGCGTGGCAGCATATCCTTGCAGAATGGCTGCTCGTCCGTCACACATGGTGGCTCCCACATCGATCGGAATGGCTCTTCAATTGGCTTCGGCTTTTTGGGTCTTTTGATTTCTGGACAAGGATTCTTGGCCGCCGATCGCAGGACACAGCACTTTGGCTTCTTCTTCTTTTCCATCTGTTCGAGGAACTTATCACGGGGCAAGTCGTAGGTCAGCACTTCCTTGGCCTTTTCACAAGTGCCTTTTGGAATAAAAAGGCACTTAGGATCATTGTCATGGCATGGATGGTGAGGATATTTGGTGGAATTTGCTCTGGAAAACAATCTGAATCCTTGCCTCCAGAGGACGCGAAGTGCTGACTGCGCCCTCATAATTTTGCAGGAATTTTGTTTGAGGCTCCTATTTTTCGGAATATTTAGGATTTTTGTGAGTTGAAATGATGTGAAAAGGAAGGCTGGGGAAACTTGGTCAAAATAACATAAGGAAGTCCATGATTTTCACAGGGGAAATCAGTAATTGAAGCCAGGATGCTTGGATCCTTTTTACACCTGAACAACACTGACGAACTTCAGCTTCCTCAAAACGGAAACCGCATCCTAGACCTGTAGGGAGAGTATCCTATCAAGGGTTTAACGCAGTTTTGGCGGGACTTGTTCAGCCGATGGTATGCCTTCCACATTTCGCACAAACTTCCCACCCGGCAAGCGCACTCGGAGCCGCAGAATCGTGGTATGAGATGACGACAAGCCTCCGAGAAACTGGGCTGGGGTGCTGTCTTCTTGCAACAATCGGCGGGCAGTCGCGTGATGATACACTTGGGCGGACGGCGTCCCATTTTGCAACACGGAGGCTTCAACGTTTTGCAGAGCATGCTCATCTGAAGGAGATGCTTATCAATGGCAGAAAGCGGTGGTTCCGGCGGTGGGCGGCAGCGGCGCTTCATGGGCGGATATATCTCCGGATTAGGACAGCAGACGTCCTTGGGTTTCAGCCAAAGAAACGGACACTCCGGCCATGTACGCTGGTATTGACGATTCTTATCCGACGGCTTGTAATGTTCACTGTCGTGCCGGATCAGTTTCAGCAAACAGTCAGGATCAGGTCGTCCCCGGTTATATATTTCCAGCAAATACTTAGGATACTTGTTCTCACAGAAAGATGGTTTCTCATAGCACTTGTCGGACTCGTACTCCAACGGGCATGACTGCTTGGTCTGCATGCACATGGTCATCTCCTTGTCACGCATCCTACAGCATTCCCCTGAGCTGGCATCATAGTTGCCCCAGTTATAGAAGCGACTTGTGATCAGGATTTTTTGAATATGTGCTTGGGGCATGCCCAGCTTCAAGGTGATCATAGTGCCTGGGTTTCTCTGAATAACAAATTTTGAAAGGCGTCGGCCGAAAGGGTTTAAGATTTGAACTGGAACTCCCAAGATCTGACATGGTAGCCAAAGGACTCCCTGACAAATTGGCACTTGCCTAGATAGATGGATGCATAATAAAACATATTATTTATAATATTTTCTATGTGAACTCTGCTATTGTTTATTCGAAACTAAGGGATGGCAACGGGTTACTGTAGAACGAACTTGGCAACTAAGACTTCTTCATGCGGTAGTAGTTCCATACGACGCACATGGGCGGCTGGTTTACGCAGAAACAGTGCGTGGGTGGGACATCTGGAGTCGGTTCCAATGTGCATTCCGAGTAGCTTGGATATTTCGTCCTGCGGCGAGCGCAACCGGCATGTGGACGTCCAGCCCGGCAGCCGACCACACTGGCTGGCTTGCAGAAGGGCAGCTTGAACCTGGGACAGGAGCTCACCTTTTTCTCAGGGCGGCATAGCCCCAGTCCCAGGTCCTCGCCGCCTACGGAGCAAGAGGATGATTTCAGCACAGGACGTGGTCGCCTTAAAAAGTTTGGAGGACGGCAACGGCAGATCGCCTTCCTCTTCCTTTGCGTCAACTCACACTCGCACCAAGTCCGTTGGTACTTGCGATTTAGTTTGTCGCTGGGCTTATAGAACATGAGATCCGTCCGCGGATAGGCAGTGGCACAGGGACCCAAGCAACGATTATCACCATCGATAAAAGATGGAACTTTGAACTCGGGATCGGAGCGACATTTGAACTCGGAGCGTCGCATCGATGCCCAGCAGAGATCCTTAAGGCGCACCTTAGACTTATCCAATGGATCATTTTTCTTCAGATTCATTCGCTGTTTAAGCGCCTTGGGCGCACCGTCGTCATAAGGATCGTAGAGGGTATTCAAACGGCGCATCTGGCTGGTACTTAATGCTAATACACTACTAATTGCTGTCGGGGCTCGGGAAAGCGTATTCTTCGCCAGCATTTTGCTTGATTTTATTCAGTCGAAATCCAAAAATTTGTTGCAATGGGTTAAAGTTTGAAATTTATAGAAAAATGTGGATTACTGTGAAATTTTCATAATGTGCGTTTCTACGGAATATATTTGTTAATAATGTGTTTTGATATATCAGAAAATGTTGAAAACTGAAGAAAATGTCAAGGGTAGCTGAGGTTGCTTTTTTTGGAAGAATTTTCGATGATTTTGATTTGGATTTTCCTAATCGTTTTATACTCTTTCACTCGTAAAGGTTTTCTTAGTTTTCATTCAATATAGTTACTTTTCATTAAAATTTATCAACTTTTATATATTCCCAGACATTCAGTAACCAAAACTAACATAGAAACCCATTTAAGCCCAACCTAAAACCCAAGTTGATTAAAAAACAGTAATTTTAAATTGTATAACTAAATTTAATTTAGTTTCGCTTTGAGTACAACACAAAGAAAGAAATAAATCCAGGGGTATAGCAAAGCACAGTAAGAGCCATTCTCGTCATCAGGCTAGTGGATAATCGTAGGACGTCCGGTCTGCCGCAGCTTCAACACGGAGCTTCTTGTTTTTGTTTTGGGTAGAGATGAACTGAGAGATCATTCGGCTGGCAGGAATGCTGATCCTCTGGAGACGCCTCCTTGTGTCCAAAGATCGTCGTAAAGCAGGTGGAGCTGCTGAACGTTTCTCCTGGCAAACTGGCTCCTTTACCTCCTCCTGAGGCTCTTCCATTTCAACCTCCTTGGGCTCCCGCCAGGTCGCTTGATATTTACGCTCTGTCCAGCGACCTGGGCTGTATTTGGTATCATCTAAGCGCCCCTCCGGCTGCTGTGTGTGCTCCTCATCAGCCCAAGTCCTTCTGGAGCTTGGCTCTTGAGTCGAACTACCCGGCTTGTAGTACATGTCATCCATTCGAAATTGCTTCATTCCGCGATATTTAAGTAGGTTGGTAAGTCCGAAAGTTACCATCCTGCTGCCCACTAAAGCTTTTGACGAATTCATTATTGGTCAGACGAAAATTTAGTTTTTTTTATTTAAATAAATAAAACAAAAATTTTCAAAGGAAAAAGAAAAAGTTGATCCGAACAGGAAAGGCTGTTTATATCTGAATGCGAAAGTTAAAATGAACTAGTCTGGTAAATCATGTTGGAGAATGACTTTTCAAGGCTTACTAGATCGAATATTTTATTTTTTAACAGGAAAAAATACGGGTCTGACATCGAAGTTGGCTTTTTCGTACAGAATTTTTAGGAGGGATTCAAATCGTGAGTGCCTCCAATTTAACAAAGCCGAGCACATACATCCCCAGAGTGGAACACCCCATATCAGGGTATTAAAAGCACCCATTGACCATCCCATTAAAAAATTGTAAAGTTTTAATTTTAAACTCGTAATATTATATTAGTTCAACGTCGGTTTGATTGAATAAAATTAAGTTGAGTGGCCAGAATAAAGTCCGACAAAACAACTAGGCTCCAGTGGCACCAACGGACTTGCATGTGGCGAGTCATCAGTCTGTAGTTGTCGAAAGGTGGGGTAGACATCCCAGATTCAGCACTTGTCGAAGTCCCTGCAATCGCACTCCTTAGAAGGCTTAGGATCGGTCGGCTTTCGCTTGCATTCCGAGTAACTAGGAAATGGAGCTTTGATCTTGCTGCAGTCTTTCTTCTTCGCTGAGCGCTTGCAACTGGGCTCCGGTTTGGATTTACCCTTTGATTTGGAGTTGCAACTGCCGCCCTTAGAGCCAGCACAACTGGCAAATCGAACGGAGAGGGGCATTAAGTTACCGGCCAAGATTTTAGCCCAATGTTTCGACAACATTTTGAATTTCGGTTGTGTAGGATAGAGAGGAAAGAGTTTCGGAAAAACTGGAATTTGGATGTGGTTACTTGGTTGGAAAAATCGGTGGGAATGTGAACTATCGTATGATTGTCGCCGCCGCCTACAGTTCGCCGCACTTCAATATCGCAGACCTGCCGCGAGCGATCCTACGTCTCAGCTCGGCCCACATCTCACAGGCCATGGGAGTCTGCAGGCAGAGGCACTCGATTGGTGGAGCCTTTGTGAGCTCCTCCCGCTTGCACTCCGAGAAGCTGGGATACGGCGCCTTACGCTTCTTGCAGTCGGACAGACGCCGTACTCGGTGGCAACTTGGTGGGACGCGGCTAGGCTTGCAGCAGGGCAATTCCCAGCGTGGACAAGGCGACTGGTCTTCCGGCTTCTTGCACTCCATGGGATTGAGCATGGGCATCGAGGGTCGGGCTGTCACCGCCACCGTCTTTCTCTGTCGGCGACATGGCTTCGGACGGGGATGCTTCTGGTCTATGCACACCTTCTTGGGCTTGATCACCAGCCGGGGACATTCGTTCCAAGTCACCTGGTACTGACGGGCCTCCTTGTCCGAGATGCGGTAATATTTAACATCAGAGCGTACGTTCATATCGCACTTTGGCTCGTACTCGCAGCCGGGTATGTCCCACATCGATTTGAACTTTGAAGTCTTTTTCGGTTTGTTAGTCTCCTTGGCCTCGACCTTCTTCTTGGGCTTGCCACCCCTGGCCGCATCGCAGATGGTGCCCTTGAAGTGAGCAGGACCACAGCTCCTGACGCCCGCGGTCTTTTCCGTTTCACACTTTTTGGGAGCTCCGCAATCGTCGTCGGACGACTTACTGCTGTAGTTGCGGCACAACAGTTGCTGACGGAGCACACTGTTGCCACCAATGGACAAGCCATTGGACCCACCCTTGTTCTTGAATTGGCTGAGACCCACGGACCAACCGCCCTTGAACAGTCCACATTCTTCCATCAAAGACATGCTGCGAGCCACGATGGAACGACACTTCAGACGCAACATTCGCAACATTTTAAACTTTTTCACCAAATTTTGTTTTACAAAGCCGAAAAAAAAACCGAGAAAATGTTTTGTAAGGCCAAGGACTGACTCTAGACTAACTGAAAACCCACATGAAATGCCTCGAGTGGGTTTACAGCGCCAACTTAATTCAGTCATTTTTTGATTTTTACCATCACTGACAGCTACGTTTAGCTTCGAAATTCTTCTAAAGAAGAAGGCTTTGAAATGAACTTCAAATCGTTTTAGCCATACAAAATAGGTTTTTAGGTCATTTCTTTTTGGCCTTTTCCAGACTTCACATCGGCTCCGTTGAGCTGATTGTGTTTTCGTTTCAAAATTTGAAGTTAGGAAATTTTTTTGTACCTCGGGGATATTTGTTTGGTTTCGGAATTGTTGAATTTTCTTCTGAGCTGTCTATATTAACCTTTGGCAGTCATGTCTCTGTTGCGCGGTGTAGCACGGAAAACTCATGGACAAATTGTAAACCGTTTATTGGGCATGGTTAGCCAGCAGCGTGCCTATGCCAAGGATCACAATCCATCGCCGAAGTGCAGCAGCGATTCCGGCAAGGGCTGTGGCAGTTTAAAAAGCTGCGGCGACCCTCGCTTCGAGAAGAAACCACCGCCAAAGCAGGAGGATACCTTTCAGTTTCATCACCTGATCAAGATACCACCGGAGTGCTGCGACGATCCTTGCCGGGATCGCTATCCTGCTTATGACGACTGCTTTTATGAGATTTCGGACAAGGCGAAACGCAAGTATCAGGTAACCTGGGTAGAATGCCCGCCCATTAAGATAAAGCCCAAGAAGATTTGCTGTTTCGAGGCGGGAAAACGTCCTCCAATCCCGCGGCGCAAGCGCAAGGAATTCGTAGCCTCTGTCGAATGTCCCACAGAGCAGGTGTGTCCCAAGGACGACGGTCTGTGCCCCAAGATCAAAATGCCCGGTTGCAGGCCCGTTGATAAGGTATCGTGCCACATAGTCCGGCGTAAGACCCAATGCGTCAAGGTCAAGGCACCGTATCCCTCGTTCTCGGAGTGCGCTCACGGCCCGCTTCGCAGGCCGCGGGCCATTGAGTGTCACTGCCTGGATATTCCAAGCTCCTGTGAACTCATCCGTGAGCTTGCGAAACGCGAGGGGAATCCTGGCACGGGTAATTGCGGCGGAAGCAGGCTATAATTGCGTTTAAGAGGGATTTAATATCTTGTTCCGTTATCTGAAGTATTCCGAAGCCAAATCAGAAAAATATCTTTTAAACCTTGTGTGCAATTCCTATTAAATAGTATAACATCGATATATACCCGAGAGTTTTATTTTCGATTATATAAGTCTGCTATGCCTTCTCCAATTTGCTTCCTAATGGAAAACAAGTTTGCCTTTACTTTTTTTTTGAAAACCAGGCTCGCAGCTACTTAGCCATGTAAATTGAAAACATTTGCCCAACTGTGGATGAGTATGCAAAGTGTCCAGGAGAAAGGGGACGCGGAGTTGGCGGCCAACTGCGTGCCATATTAAAGTCGCTTTATAGCAAATTACCAATTCAGATATATACGGGTACACACAAATCAGTTATACCCGGCATCTATCAGCATATTCCCCTGACTATATAGCTTTTTGGTTTTCTCCCTTCTTTCTGTTTTTTTTCGTATTTTGAATGCATGCAGGCCGTCACATTTATTCGAGTTCGAGTTTGATGTACGAGCCGAAATGCATGTGCATAATCAAAAGGGGAGCGGATGGAGCGGACAAGATCCTCCTACCGAAGACAATCGAAATGAGACAAAGCCCAGCTTCGAAGACGTCGAATCTTCTCCAGCTGCTGCAGACATAATTGATGGATCGCTGACTGACGACAGAAATGTTCTCTGACTGGAACAGAGGAGCTAGGGATCCGAAAAGGGGGGATTCGTCGTGTTGTTCGCCTACCTCTGCCTAAATAATGATGTCGCATTATTTATGCCGCAGCTGATTTGCATATGCAGGCTAAGAACCCAGGGATTGGCTTGGATTGAGGGGGATGGCGGGTGTTTTCGGGGATATCTAGAAAGCAGTTGCGTTGCCCTCGGGGCAATGTGTGCGCTTTCTTTAATAAATGTTTAATTTATAATTGATTTTTCCCCCCCTTAACCCCTCGGCCAGGAACAATGATATGCCTTGGCTGGAAAGACCTTAAAAGTTTCTGAACCGCAAAAGGATTTGCCCGCGCACGAAAACACTTAATTAATTCGCATAGACAGACAGACGGACGGACGGATAGACATACGGACGGATGTGGCGGGGCAGGATTGAGCCCACCCATCTGGTCAGACGACTACACCCACAGGCATACACACACATGTGAAGAAATAATTAGAAATTAGAATGGAGAATGCTTGCCAGCCAAGTTGACGATAACAACGCCCCACAAATGCCCGCCCTCACACAGCAGGGCCGACCCCTTAACTTATAAACCCACGACCTCCAACCCCTTCGAAGAAGCATATTTAAAATGTAGCCAAGTCGACGTCGACACGAGTATGATTTAAACTATATACTTGGACCCTTTTAGCCGACCAAAGCCCAAGACAACGGCAACCTGAATCGAAAATGATGTTGCCTTTGTTGTTGTTGTTGTTCCTCAAGCAGTTTCAATTTACTTATTATAGCTGAAGATGGGAGAGTTAATTGAAAACTATCGATTACCCGTTTGATTAAGTAATTAGCAGTGATTGGAATTTAAATATTTTATATTTCAGTTTTAAGAATATTTATTTAATCAATCCTTAGGACTGTAAACTCTCTATTTTAACTAAAATTGATTTGAAAAATGAAAATATATTTAAGATATTCAGATTTTACTCTAGTTGTATCCAACTTTATGCAGAATGTATAGTGACTTAAGAACCTTCGCGCCATCTCCTAGACTTCTTCATCAATAGTTTTCATCCCACACTTCTATACCCCTAAGCAGCTTGCTTAATCGCTGGAAAATTAATCCTCTTTCGATTTTAACCAATCGCCGCAAATGAGCATATTCGATAAGGGAATACTGCCATCTCTAAGGACCTTCAAGCAGGACCGCACAGGACAGCTAAAAACAGGACGAAGAGGAGAGAGCTTAATTTGCTGCTAATATCCGTTTACGTCTTTAGTTGCAAGAAAATTACAATATTTCGTGTGGGATAGTTGGCACGCATACCCCGCAAAACTCCCAGCTATAGATACTTTTGTATCTAATTTAAATTTCACAATTTCGGCGATGGTAAGAAAAACGCCTAGATGGAAAATGAGCTAGGCCCTTGGCTAATTTTCTATAGCCATCGTGCAAGGGTTGGAATCGAAAAGGGGGTTTGGCAAGAAGTGGGCTTGCCCGGGCGGATTAAAGCCCGGCAAGTGGACATAGACTTTTGGGCCAAGTGCTCGTAAACCGGGGGATCAGGATGTGGGTCTTATGCCGGCGACTGCTGCTTCTGCTTCTGCTGCTGCTGCTTAGCCAAATTATATTATGACTTGTTTAAAATTCAAATTTGAAAACACTAAAATCATGTTTTCGATGTCTGGCCACCCCGACAGCGCCCAACCCCCTTTTTGGATAGTTTTCGGCAAGGGTTTTAAGTAGCACACGCGGCCAGAGAGAGGGGGAATGAGTAGTAGTTGAGGTTCTGGTCACAGGGCGGTGGTAGCTGGGTGTCTCTGCTAAGGATTTGCCTCCGCCTTCAACTGGCAACTTTTGCTGTCTGTCCTCGTCCTCGGCCCCGATCCTAACTCAAGGCAATGTCCTTTGCCGGCTCTATATATATATGTATGTGTGTGTATATAGCGTTTGTATGTGTGGGCTTGTGTGCGTGTTGCCAAAACATAGTTTCTAGTTGCCACATAAATTTTGCATTCTCTTGCTTAGATGTGTGTGTTTGTCCTATGGCCAACTAGAATTTGCTTTTAAACAATTTTAATGATTTCATTAGTCGTATGGCGAGCAATTTAATGAGGACGTTTCGGGGGTACGAAATTGATTTTCTATTCGTTCGACTAGCTACGAGTTGATATTGCTACGGAGCTTAGAGTCGGGTATTTGAGATTTTGGTTGTGGGTTATGGTTAAAGACTTTCTGGGAAGGTTTAAAGAAGGCTGGCGTTCTTTTATGGCTCAGATTAGACCATAATTATGTATTGAAATTGATTTTGTTCTTTGGATAAACAATGGTCTCTAAGATCTACACATTTATTCTATTCCCTTATCCTATAACTTGTTTGTTTTCAAGTTTGACTAATAGATTTGGGTATAGCTTTTTATGTAAAATGTGTACTAAACCAGCTTCTTAGATTACTTTCTTTCGCTTGTCCTGCATTTTTAATTCCAAGTCTTCAAAGAATGTCCCTAAAACATCTCCATTATAATGCAATTACATTTTATTTATATATTTCTGTAAGCTGTGCCTTGCACTTGTCCGATAACTTTATCTGCTAGTCAAGTTTTCTCTTGGCCTGGCTAACCCAAACTTATGAGCTGAGACGCCATTTTGTCCTGGCCGCAGACACTAACACACTGAGAGCTCAAGACATAATTAGATTGCATAATGTAAGTGTTGCCTCTCGTCCAGCCTGTACAGAGACTACACAGAGTCCTGGCAATTTCAATAAAATTTGTGTCGGCCAAGGAGTGGGCTAAGAAGGAGCAAAGCTTAGCCCAAAAAGCAGTCAAATGTCTCAGACGTCTAACACACAAACACACACACACACACACACATTTGTGGGGTATTCCCCTCTTTCGTTTACCCCTTTCACTCACTCTTCTCTCTGCTAGCAGGACTTTAACCCTTGAGGCTGTGTGTATGTGTGTGTGTGTGGGTTGTGGGCAAGGCAATGGCCTTTCAAAATTTTCGAATTTACGTAAATTTAACTTTCTTGAAATACACTTAACTGTAAAATTAATTATAAAAGGCAATTGTGCATGTGTATGTGTATGTGCTGGCAGTCGTAGGTGTACATGTGTGTGTGTGTGGGGGGCTTAGGAAGTACCCCACCCATTCGCCCACTTAAGTTTGTATTAGTCTTTGGCCGAAAAGGTGTTGGCATGGAATTTGCATAACCAACGAAACGTCAATGTCTTCAGAGAGAGAGAGAGAGAGAAGAAGAGAGCTTGTGGGAGCGAGAGAGCATATGTGTGTGTATGTGAGCATGTACAGTTGCGCCCATCGCCATTTGCATACTCACACACACACACACAGATGTCTGGGCCTTGTGTGCGAAAACACACTAATTAAATGTTGAAGGCAGTTTATATTGAGAAGGCGCCCAACCGCCCACTTGCATGGCCAGCGGGCAGACAAAGGCCAAAAGCAGGTGATGGTATGTGTGTTTTGGTGGGTGGGTGCATTATATAACTCACACCCGCAACTCCCAACCAGCCCGAAAACACCTGTATGTATGAGCGTGTGTCCTAAGAAAATCTATAGCCTACGGTACTCAAGCCCGAACCGCAAATTCAAATGTCTTCATTTTGCACATCAAACCAACTGCAGCAGCACAGTCACCACCACCCACCCTAACCACCGCACTAATACTCATACAGATTCACAGGACGAAGGAGCAGAAGCTTTACATATGTATGTTTGCTGAGGATTTCTAATTACATTCGGCATCGTTCGGACTCATCTTCGAAACGGCTAGCCCGGGGGCGGGCCTTATGTAAAGTATTTCAATGCCGATAAATTATAATGGCTCGTGTGAATTCGAGATGAAGTGGCGAGGTGAAAAGGTCTCCTTCTCGAGGGTGGTCAATTCGATAAGGTTTTGGCTTTCCCTTAGAAGTACATGACTTAGATAAAGGACTGCCTTACATTGATTTAAAACCACTTTAAAAAATAATTAACAAAATATTATGAATCTTTACTTGAAAGCTTTTCCAATTTAGATATTTTCTAGCCACTACTAAATCACCTTGTTTTAAACTTAGCTAGCAACTAATTGCACATTAAGCCAGGCAATTATCCCACTGACAGTTGGGCTAATGTCACGATACCAAGACCTAACCAGCATAGGCTCTCCTGCCTGAATTTTGTTTTGCCACCTGCCCCGGTATACACACGCAGACATTTTTAATTAAACGTAAATTTTGCTCTATTGATTAGTTGCCAACAACTCGGCAACTTTGGGTGTTGGTGGAGCAGGCATGTGCAACCTTTGTTATTGCGAACGCATTAGTATTAGCGCAACGGATGACGTGACCGGGAATGAGGAGTGTATAGAAGGTTGAGGAGGGCTAAAAAGGAGCCAACTTGACACGCAAACTACTGCGAACAGGAGGTGGAAGGAG